ACTATCTATGGCCTGCATAATTGTAGTGTCTCTCCAGTAGCTGAGTAATCCCATGGAGGACTCTTGAATGAGACACCTTGAACTGAACTCTGTATTCAATGGGGAGTCAGTGCAGAAAATATAGATTGGGTGTTGGAGATGTGTTCACTAAGCAAATGGGCTGCTGCATCTTGTACCACTTGTGTGGCTTTGCTCTGAGTTACTATAACAAAGTCCAGTGCTCACATGAGGACATAGATCACTGTGGCCACATCTGTGTTTGATAGGATGGGGGTGTAACTCTCAGGTTGCTTGCAGATGGAAGCGAGTGCCCAAATAGCAGTGGAAGAGTCCTAAAACAGCGGTTCCCAAACCTTGCCCTTGCATGACCCCATTTTCAGATGTATTGCTTCCTGTGATCCCATGCCACATGGAGGATGCTATTTTACTTTACAAAATGGCTTCCTTTGCACAGCATGACCTTGCATGCCTATGGTGCATGTGAGGTCACGCTACATGAAGATCACCATTGGTAAAATGGCATCTTCCATATTCGGGATTGCCACAACCCCATCCGCTGAGGAAGTGACCCCATTTGAGGTTGCAACTCAGTGAGGGAACTGCTTTCCTAGAGGATTCCAGTGCTGCAGATTGACCTAACAGCCTGAGGACACTTTTCCTCACGTGGGGAATGTTCTAGAAAAGGCAGATTTTGAGAAGCACTTCCCTCTTACCAGCATCACCTCAGGCTTCCCATCGTATCTATATTTTTTTAGACCTATTGTGCGGCATAATATTTGAGTGTGCTGTGGAGCATGTATGCTAGTCCTGTCTGTCAACTTTGCCAGGTCCAGCTTGGCTGGCTAGTGGGTCCTTCAGACGCTGACTTCTTTACAAAAACTTGGACAAAACATGATTGTTCTTGTGAAATTGCCAGGGACGCTAAAACATGCTCTTGAAAACATTCAGGGATGTGTGGTCCACCTTCCAAGTCCAATCAGTCACTCTGTGCTCAGCGTAGCCCCCGCCATCTTTACCACTGGGTCCTATTTTGCTGAGGCTGTTGTAGAGGGAGATGTCCCTCACTAGTGGCATCTTTAACTTTCCCAGGGATGCCTGGGATATGGCAGAAGAGATCTAAATCAAACTACTGCACTGCCTTAATTTTTTAAGACACTTATTCTATTTGAGACTTCAGTCTGAAAACACTGTTTCCCCACATGTTCTGTTCAGTTCACTTCTGTTCCCAGATAGCCTCATCTGTGCAATATCTTGTGAAAACTGCCATAAATTATCTTAAAAAATGTAAGGATCCTTGTTCCCTGCATTATTCCTCTTATTTGCTAAAGAACTGCCAATTATCCCACAGTTAATCAAGGGAAGACTTTTTTTCCAAGGTAAAAATTGCTGTCCTCATCGGATAACGTTTTTACTAGACTCCTGCACTGGTGCCTACATATTACAATGGTGGGTGCAGTATTTATACTTCTACAAACTAGACTAAGGGAATATACAGAAATGAATTTTTCATCAGATTACTGATTCATATGGGAGTGACTAACTTCCCAATGTCTGTATAGCTGCCTTAGTGTTAAGACTTGTCACTTGGTCTCGACTAAATTATATATACATGAATACATCATTGTTTGATGTTAAATTTAATTTGCCAACCTGACTCTCTCATAATGCGCATCTGTTCTCATTTAATCCTCTTCCCCCTTATGACTTTCCCTTCCCCCATTCTGTATTCTCTGTTCTCTCATCCTTGTCCCTTTCTCCCCTGCGGCTTATATTTAGTACTCACTTCCCTGCTGCTTCTCTGCCAACTTCCCTTTTCCATTCAAATCCTTTCTTTAATATATTTCTTTCACTAAACCTTCCCATAGTGATTCCCCTCCCCCATCCTAAAGAGGTGCCAGTATCAACCCATTATGTAGCTTAACTGTATTATCTGTCTGACTTGGATTCAGAACTGCCAGTTTGTTCAGCTCCATACGAACCTGAAGGAAGCCGTAGCTCTTACTCCAGAGAGCTCACAATCTGTCTCTAACTAATGCATGTAGCCACAAAAATACTGTCTTTCTTTCTCCTTCAGTATCACTCCACTTAGCAGATATCTAATCTAGTAATGGGAATCTAAATGCTGTGACAGAATAAGCACGATGCAGAAGGAAGTCTAGGAGGTTCTTAATTTATACAGTTACAAGCTATTTCACTGTATTAGTGAAGATCACAAAGTCTCCCATTATTTGTGTATGTGTATAAAAATATTGTGTGTGTGTGTGTTTGACTCTCCTTGCCTTGTTGTGTTAGGAAAGCTCTAAGGGCCTCTTTGTAATTAGTTGAATTTCCTGAATTGAGCTTAAAACATACTGTACAACCAACTGCTTTATAGGGTACCACCAAGCAAGAAACTGCTTGCTGATTATTAGAAAAAATGGGAATACTATGGCAAGCTGGAGACTCTATGAGAGGGCCAAAACAGGAATTGCAGGATGATGCCTTGAGATCCCATTTCCTCAGCCTCAAGCAGCGGACACTTTGCTGTCTTGGCTGCTCTGTCCTGGGCCTGTTCTGTTTTTGTTCCTAGTATCTCAGTACTCCCTAGAAGTAGGTGAGTGACCTTTTTGTTTTTAATATTATGTCTAACTGTTTCCCAGAAAGGACTGGGTGAAATGGAGAATTTTGCAGCAAATGGAGGGTGTATTAAGGGAATGTACCCCACCCAACTTGCAGGTAGGCTGCAAGAAAGCCCCTGCAAAGCTGCTATGCCATTTTATAGGCTGGAATACCGTCTGCAACTCCTCCTTACCCCTTGTGAGGTAGGTCCGGTCCACTAGGTCACAAAACCTGTGACACCTGCCCCGTGGAGCCCTCTCCATTCTGGCCTATGTGAGATAAGCATAGCGACAACATTAGATGTGGAGCCCCTCTCTGCACAGCTACTCAACCTGTACATCCTAAAGGGGATTCAAGTGGTGTGAAGGGCCTTGTTTGAGCCTTTGTAGTTGTCTGAATGTCATTTACATGAGAAGCAAAGAAGTCTGAGGAATTGCCGAACGAAATGGGCCAACAGGCTTCTGCTGCTCTGTAGAGATTTGGCTGGTCACATGCTGTTGGCTCTCCTTGATACCAGCTGCCTTTGCAAATGTCTGGGCACTTCACTGCAGTAAAGAGCCCAGGGTCTTGTAGAAACAGCTGGAAATGGGGAGCCAGCCTAGCTGCTACGTAGGAGGAAAACAAAATTGACTATGATTATGCCCTGTAGGTACCAGCCTCCAGTGTGAGAAGCATGTATGGGGTGAAGGAAGTGAGATAGCACGGACAGTGGGTAGATATGATCAGGCAATCAATCTTAAAAACTTCCGCACCCCAATCTGGGTCTATGCTGGTTATGTAATATGTGAACCTTGTAAACAACACTTGTAACCTTCCATAACTTAAGGCTGACCCCAGATGTACAGTACCTTCCTTCTTAACTTGTGTAAATTTGATTTTAAACATTAACTTCAATAAAATTTTTAAATCTATGTAATAGGTGAAGGGAGGTAGGCAGCAGAGAAGCATATATAAAAGTGCAGGAAGAGAGATGAGATGACATAGGCAGTATAACCCCTTTCTAGGAAGGACACAGGGCTAGTATAAGAGCTAAATACAGATTAGTAGTAATTTCTATGCAAATAACTTCCATGGCTGATAGAGGCACATATGTAATGGCGCCGTGTTGAGCTGTCTTTCCGTGCACAG